TACTTACTTAATACTAAGTGTGTTACCACCACAGCAAATATGAAGAGACAGAGGACAGACAATGACATGATGAAGAGATAAAAATATCTGTAGTTACGCTTCCCAACACAATTCCCCACCCACGGGCAATGGTGGTCGAAACGTTCTGAAATGGAGACAAAAACAAACCTCAACAAAAACATGAATGTTGTGTTTAGAAAGAAAAATAACTGTGAGACATCCTAATATGAGCAGAATAGTCACTTATATCAATTACTTTTATAGCTTCTTCAATCAATGTCTAAGATTATCAAAAACATGGGAGCTTATTGATTATAAAGCGTATGAACCTCTTTACAGAGGCGCTGCTATAAGGGTATTCAGAAATGTGCATTTACAAAGATTTATCACAAAAATTCATTTTATATGATCTTTAAAGATCATATTCACATCAATTTACCACAATATACACAATAAAAAAAATAATTGCTTATTTCTGATTTATCACGGTAGTGTTCTCAATGTCACTCTTTAAGTCTTAAGACTTTCACTCTTTAAGTCCTAAGACTTAACTTCATGTCAGTTGAATACAGTTTCTAGTAATGCTTTACCCTACCACAGCCCTACCCCTGTCTAGTTTGAATATTTCACAAAGAAGCCAGATCCTGTATTACTTAACGAGCTATATACATATATATGAGTATATTCAGGTCAATGACTTACTACACAATTAACAGCAACTTATACCTTCTCTGCTGTTATTACATTTACTACACACATTTAACTATTTCGTGGAAGCATATGTCCCTTACATTGGAGATTTTATGAAATCAGATCTAAAAAAAGAAGAAATTACAGGAAGTGCACAAAAGGAAAGTGAGAAAATATACCTAAGCTTCTGCAACAACTGTATCAAATGTATCATGGATAAAGTTCAACATTTAATAAAAATTCACTTGAATTGAGCTGTGGCACCTAATACTGAGGGCATAATTTAAATCCATTTTTCCCACGTTTTTTTTGTGCTTAATATCAGATCAATTATCAAACTGGGTGCACTGTAAAATGAAAGTTAAATTGTCTTTTTTACTTACCTACGCAATTATCACAGACACTACAATGTGATGCCCTGGGAGGCCTAAAGATTTTGCAGGTATAACAAAACTTCAGCTTAACCATCTGCCCTTTAATAATAACTTCTCTGACTCTTGGAGGAGGTCTATAATTCGGCTGGCATGAACTTGGAACCTCTGCAACATTGAAGACAGAAACATAGCTGATCCCATGAGTTGAAAATCTTTAAGACATGTAACAGATGATATGCAACACATTTAATTAATATTGCTATGACCAGGTTAAATTTTCTTCAATCAATGTTTTCATCTTTCAGCATCATCCCTCATTCTATTCCCCTCTCCCCAACACAGCTTAATTTTTCTGACCTCATAAGCATGTGTTCACAGACTTTAACTTGACCTGCTAATAATATGACTTGGAAAGTAACATGAACAACTGGCTCATAATAAATTTCAGTTGACAAAGCTTAAAAAGCAACCCTCTCCACTGTGAGGAAAACAAATGTCATAGCAATTCTACAATGGGTGTTGAGCCTTACTTTCAAGAAATTACGTAAACGAGCCTAGAAATTCATGGTAAACTTCTTTTGGTCTACAGTTTGGTTAGATTTATCTTCACCTCTAGAACCTTTGTAAAACAGATCCAAGGGTAGTAGGAACTTACCTATTTGTCTCTCCAGATCTGCGGCCTCATCAGGTGTTGACCTGGGGATCACCCCAGGGTCACTGAAGCTTGTGCGGAAAAGCGTGGATAAAACAAAGATGAACAACAGCCCTGCAGCCAAAGGGACAACAAACCCAAATGAAGGATACGTCTCGACAAAATATCTGCAACTTGAAAGAGAAAAAAAAAACAACTAAATATCCTTTCTGTGTCAATTAAAAAATAACTGTCATCACTTAAGAAATCTTGAATCTATCTATCTATCTATCTATATATATATATATTAGTAATAAAAAACAAAACACCAAAACATCATTTAGGGACTAATTCATAAGAATTACTCTTGTTCTTCCATAAAATATTGGCATCAATAAATACAATTTCCTGGCCTGGCCCAATACAAGGGTGATTCATAAAGATTTAATTCAGTCTTAGTGCTACAAGGTCCCCAGAGTGCTGCCCTGGACGTATATTTTTCAGTTAGTGTACTAGAAAGCCCTGCTTACTAATTGGTTAGCACATCCCTTTCTATCTGTGCCATTACAACCTGACAAGAAAAGAGAGGAATGAAAAGGAAAAAGGAAACAAGATCTAAAACAGTAATCTTAGTTATTGATCATGACATGATGCAGTCTTTTCCAAAGAAACCTCAAATTTCAGTAATCAGGTTTTTTTTTATAAATCAGGTTATTTTGTGTACTCTTACAGAGTCAATAAACAATTCATTTCATTTCCCTTGTTATGGCATTGGCCACAAATACATTACTTCCTTGGAAATGGAAGGATGAGGATGGCATACTAGTCATTTTTCATGAGGTACCGTTATTTTCCTTCAAAATTCTATTAAAACTTTTCCACACACACACACACACACACACATTTTGCAGTATTCTTTTGATAAATTGATCCAGTATGGTAAAGGAATGCAACAGAGTAACATAATTCAGACAAAAACCTTTTTTTCAAAATAGTTTTGTATCTCACAGTGGAGGGATGAATAATCCTTTAATGTTATGATCTTTCCTCATATATTTTCTCCAAATGAATCATTTCTACAAAAGAATATTGCAAAGCAAAGGTCAAAACTTATTGCAAAGATCATTGTTAAGACATATTATTTGCTTCAGTTTTAAACACATTTCATCAATCTTACTTTCAATGGTATAAATATCTTCAAAATATCATGAAAGCCACTCTACCATTCTAAGAAATATGTACCAAAATATGAAACCCCAATATAAAAATTGCCACCCTGTGATAAATGCAAGGAAATAAAATTAAGGTATCAAACAAATTCTTCAATACTTTAGCTCCTAAGTCATCAGTCATATGGTGACCCAAGCCTGGTGTGAATCATACTATTACACAGAGCAAGTACACATAATACTGCAGCACGTTCTTGTATTGATTTGCAATTTAACAACATCCAGAAGTGTAAGAAGCAATATTTCAAGCTGTACAAGTAATTCAGCATTTTCTTAAAAACCTGAAAATTTTTTTAACCTTCCACATTCCTGAATTAACAAGAAATTATAATTTTGAATTGTATTTAAAAATCTGTTTTTACATGCAAAATTATTAAGTATTAAAATTTTATTCATTTCATGATATATATTTATAATTTTTTGACATCTTAAAGGTTTCACAACCTGGTAAAAAATCTAGTAGTGTGCTACATTCTTTAAAGCAGTAGTAGAAATATGCATTTAAGTAAATTTCATATTGGTGAGTAACATATAAAGCATAGGCACAATTACTGATCTAAAAGAAACAGTTGAACTTGCTAATTGGTATGTGCACAGAAACCCAACCTTTCATTTTCAGCAGACTACTACATAATCATGTCTATCATTACTATACATATTTCAATCAATGTCATTCCTTATTTTAACACTGTGTAACATCACCATATACAACTGTCTGTAAAAAGATAAAATGGCTAGAGCTCATAGGTACCAAAATCCTAACTGTTTACCCAGGTATAATTTTGATTTTTACCAATTTGGTAAATACATTCTTGGTAATGGGTTTCAGAGTGTATGTATGATTTAATCAATAACTGATCTATCTGGTGTCTATATTATACTTATCTACATAATACCCTGTGCTAATGTGAGACAACTTGCATCTAAGTAGACAAACAGAAATACCTGTGGTATTCAAAAATAAAAATATATCATCAGATGTTAGAAAGCATGTACAACACACTTCCACCTGCACTGAAAGTACAGGAGAGAGGCCTTAATTACAACCTAGTTAGCCTGGCATAATGGTGTAGAGTAACTGTTTCTACATATTGTGCATGTGTATACATTATTTATAAACACAAATTAATGCATTAACATTCAAATGTTATTTCTGCAATGCTTTTTTGTAAATAGTTTCACGATATCCATCAAAGTTTGATTTTAAATCATTATGACTTCAAAGGGCTAAATACTTTCTTTACCAGAGCTTCAAGGTGACCTCACAGGATAAAAAAAAAAGCTACGTACAAAATGGTATTTGCAATGGACTAATGCACTGCTCATTCTGTATCAATACTGATGCTGCTTGAAAATGGTATACATAATAATATATTTGTCCTAACATTTTAACCCTTTCAAATAGACAGCTGAATATCTTATCTGCAATGCATATGAAACAATAGTAAGGCATTTTCACAGATACTCAGTCCAGATATTATAATATGCATTTTTATTCATTAAATATGTGCATCAAGATAAGCCTAAGTAAATCAAAATTGATATATTTGGTCAATGTGCTCAGTAGTGATCATGTAGGAAAGTTGTGCAATATGTAACATCTTGCTTGTCATCTGTTATCCCATAATGAAAACATGTATCTTCTCAAACATAATGGACATCCTTGCACTTTTTAAATATATGTATTAAAACTTTGTTTGAAGTATAATTTCAATTGGTACTTGATATCAAATTTCTATATGACTTTCACTTTCTGATGAATTTTTATTGTTGTTTATTTAAAGTAGTTATGTACAGTGCTTGAGTACTGCATATTTATCAAGCTAGTATCAACCCCTTTGTAAATGTAAATCTAATCCAAAGAATATGCTATGGTGCATGAAGTGATCCAAGGGACCATTCCCAGACCCTATCGTACTAACTGTGGATCGATCTATCTCCAAGGGGATTCTCACTAAATTGCAATTTACTTAAGCAGCTTAGACGTCTGTAATGCTTAATGAAGCTGCTAGGGGGTAATTAATTATTGCTTAGCAGCTTCAGTAGGCGTACCAGACATCTAAGCTGCTTAAGCTGAAAGCAATTTAGCAAGAAACCCCTTGGAGATGGATAGATCCTGTTAGATCGATCTACTAGTAGGTATGGGAACCCAGTCAAAGTCAGCTTGGGACACTTTTTCAATCATGAATATTCCCATCAAATAAAATTGATATATTCCCAAATAATCTCTACCAAACATGGCCTTGAGAACAACTTTTCTTTCTGAGATCAATGTTTGAGGCAGTTATTGGCTTTATACAACCCTTATAATGTACTCATCCCACACACATAAAACATTTAAATCCACCAATGGTCAGGCTAATGTAGATTTAAGATAAGAAAACTGACTGTATACCAAATGATGCTGAACCATTCTAATGACCTATATGTAAGTTTTATCTCCACCACTGGGACTTCGATAACCGCAAATTACAATTACGAATCAAAGATAGTTTGTTTCTAAAACAAAATTGAGTAAAACAGATGGTGCAGGGTTTAACTGCAGCTTAGTGGCAGCTCTTACTTCCCTTTCTTAATAAGATGCCATGACTGACAGAAGAGGTAAAGATAAAACCACAGATCAGTTTCAAGACCATTTTTTGTTTTAATGTAGTTGATGAACATTTGTTATTTTTAATCTTCTGATATTACATTCAGGCCAACAAGCAAGAATATAACTAATCTACTGTCAAGGAAATTTATGATAATTTATTTTTGCATTTTCATTCAGTGTATGATTGTCAGCTTTCTGGAAGTGACCTTTGAAATTAGGACTGTTATATAATTCATACATGAGCTTAGAGAGCATCAAAATATACGATAAATAAATGTCCATTGGAAAACCAGAGCATGTGATCAGATACCATTGAAAACAGTAAGATAATTAATTTTCTCACAAATGTCAAACACCTCACAAATTTCATTTTTAAAAAGATTTATCATTTTCAGTTATTCACATAAACATACCTGTAATGTGCTTCTCATATCTTCAACATCCTGTTTCCAAAGTTACTATCAAAACTTAGTATATGGAAAAGTACCAATCAACTTCAGAGAGTAATAACTAATACAGGATATGTTGTGTATTTGAACAATCAAACCATTTAGTGTTCATCAACCTTGCACCACTTCATGATGAATGAATTCAAGGATAAATCATGCAAACCACGTCAACACACAGTAAACAATGCTCACTTTCCCTAAAGTTAATTGTATGAGGCACAAGCTATCATTATGAAGTATTAATCAAAACTGATGTTTCAATAATGTATCACCAATTTCAACTATTGTAGAAATGAGAAGGTGACTTTCACTGGCCAAGGATCAAACCATCTTCCTCAGTATACAGGAAGAACACTCTACTCTATTGGTTGTGTTGCTAGAGAGAGCAATCAGAAGATATGAGAGATTTCAAATCTGATGATGGCTATACACTCCGTGCAAAACATAAGGAACATGATCTGCATGAAGAGGATGATAAAGGTGTAAGATTAACGTCAAAACTCACACTGATATTCTCATGAGAAAGTTGACAGGAAAAAGACTAATCTACTCATGCCAATATGCCAGGTTGAGGAAACAAATTTAAATGCAGTGGAAACTACTAGCCATAGTATTTGCATTTTTCAATTTATTATTATTTTTTTCAGTGGCTTACTTGAAATTTACCTGCTTGTACCACTATGCAGATTTAAAGAGATTGAAGTAATACTTGGATATATAGGCTTTTTTAAACACCCCTCTTTGTCATAATATCATAATAAAAGTTGCAAAATGGTGCACCTTTTTTAAACTGCACTTTGACTGAGAAAGTTAAATAATAATGATGGGCTGTTTAGTAGCTTTGATACAAGAGGTGGTGCTTTGTGCAAGAAAATATCATAATAAAATGTACAAAAGGCCTACCAACGACTCTGCTTCAATTTCTGGTTCAAATTCATTATAATGTGATATTATAGAGTCATTCTGTCTCAATTGTTTTTTTTTAGATTCACGAACCAATCAACTGAGCATAAATTCAATGATGACTCAGGAAAGCAATTACCAAAATAAACACGATAAGAAGTTTTTGTGTGGAAATAAGTAGGTAGATTTAAATTTTCAATAACCTGACTGATATTTGATAATAGTTAGATAGCATGCTTAAGTAGAAAAAGAAGAAATCAGCTTTGCTAAGTCCAGAGTATGACAAAAAGAACCAAATGTCAAAGAAAATAACTTCAAATTCAAGTCAACTGCCTTAACAATAAACTTAGTAGCCTTGAATGTATACATTGTTCACTCTAAATTAAATTATTCAATCTAATTAAATATGATGTAACCTTGTATTGTAACTTGTATGAATTCATGATCTGATCTTATAAAATTTTGATCTAAATTGCTTAACCAGTGATTTACTTACACAAACCTTCCTTAATTACATAGTACTTCCCAACTATGAATTTAATCATTCATTACTTTAAGAATATATAATCAATGTTATATTCATGAATTCCACTATTATAAGATACACAGCATTATTTATCTTAGATTCCTAAGATGAAGCTTGAATAAATATGTTCTATTAAGAAAGCTGAAAATATTCCCTTTTTTATTTCTGATACTGCTCTTCACTGAATACAGGGCAAACAAAAAAGAAACCATTTCAAACTAACTCTTCAAAATTAATCATCAGCCAAGCAGATTCATATACTTCTTCCCATTTCATTCAACTTAAGCACTACATTAACTAGAAATACAATATAGAAAAAATCATTAAAAAATATGGATTTGAAGTTCATAACACATTGTTTACTTACTCAAATATAAAGAACAACAGACATGTCCCAATGATCAGAATGCATGTGAAATAAAATATCCCTGCTTGTCTGGCCATCATGATCCTCCCGTCACAGCAAAATTTGTTCCTCCCTGGGAACACCTCCCATTTCCGTGCCGTATGTGACATCTTCACTATTTCTTCGACTGACAGTTTAGTGGGAGAATCAGTAGCAACAGGCGAGTACTCAGCATCTGTCATCTCACGGACATTGCAAAATCATCAACATCAGATCATCCTAAATATGCCGGTTTCACGTCTAGATCTGAAAAAGTAAATGATCTTCCTTAAAGGAACGTAAAAAGATATCATATAAAAATCAATAAAGAAAGTTAAAAACGACTTTAAACAGTGATAATATGAGAAATTTTACCTCGCTGAATTGTTTGTCCACAAACTAAAGGAAATCTAACGCATGCGTTGCACCCTTTTCCGGCATGTGAGCGGCACCTGGCGGAAAGAAATGGTAAATCACTAAAGACGGAAATGAATGAGTGTTCATTAAGTAAAGGAATAGGCAACAATTAAAACAGTCTTTTATGCTAGTCGAAAAAGGCGTTTACAAAGATAAAATGATGCATTGAATGAAAAATGTTGGGGTGGTTGCTGATTATTTTTGATATTTTGCTAGCTTGTCTTGTGTGTCATGGCCGTGCCAAGTTGAGTGTTGCTGTTGCATCCCGTATGTCAGTGGCAACAGCGAATGTTTTTAATATTTAAAAAAACTTAGAAAAATCTCTTTTGCAGAGTTGGGTGTGTGTGAACATGTGCATGTGTGTCACTGTGTGGATGCATGGACAGGAGTCACAATATATTAGTATCTAGCCAGTGATTTGTTGGTATATAATGTCAGAAATAAAGATAAAAATGGTACATGAAATATGATTAGTGAAAGAAATAAGCAAATGAAATAGCACTACCCATTTCTACATTTAGTGTGTAGTGTGTGTTACTGAACCACTGGCGTAACTGCCAGGCAAGTGAAGTTCTATGCAAAAGCTTTCCTTGAAATATAATACTAAGAGAAATATATTTGTTTCATTTATTTTTTTATTTTATTTTATTTTATTTTTTTTGTTTTGTAGCTTGCATCCACAAAATTACATGGCTACCTGTAATGATATTGAAACTCAGCTGCAGCATTGCTTGCTGAACACTGGACTTCCAACTCTGAATGTTGACATAGATGATCCAAACCCTGGTATGATACAGTACATGTACATACTGTATATGATATAAGAAATACATAGCGACATAATAAATATCCTTAGCATGTAGGTGAATAAGGTATTTTTTATAGCCAATAGTTTAAGGACAATTTTGGATAAAGTACAATGTACAAGAGTTTTTAAGTAGCAGCAGCTTTAAATCCAAATGAAAAGATCTATGCATTTTTGAACTATTATTGGCTATTCATAATTATTTTTACTTCTTTTGCAGTGGCCTTTATACCCCACACCAAGAGAACTGTATGTTATATTGTATGTGGGTTGTTAATAAATGACCAGAATGAAGTCCTCATGATGCAGGAAGCAAAGGAGTCCTGTCGGGGGAAATGGTATCTACCTGCAGGAAGGCTGGAGACAAATGAAACACTGAAGGTAACATTTCTGTTTTAAGTCATTATGATAATGATTATTTTTCTGTAAGAAGTTGTTATCCAAATGAAACTAAATTATCAGTTTCCCAGTGCAAATTAAGATGAAACTAGGTTTTAAAAATAAATCAAAGGATGGATTTAAAAATCTCCCAATTTTGAATTTGTTCAAAATACTATTTTCAGGAAGGAGCTAAAAGGGAAGTGTTGGAGGAGACTGGTCTGGAATTTGAACCCCAAACACTTTTGTCAGTTGAAACACAGTGCGGCACCTGGTATAGGTTTACTTTTACTGGAAAAGTAACAGGTAAGTAATGCAGATATTTTGCTGATGACACAATTTTCAATGTGGGAAGAACTAGTTGACCTATCAAAATATATTTTTATAGTTTCTCATGCACAAAACAATATATCCATTTTTTGTAGGTGGGAAATTAAAAACCCTGAAAGAGCAAGATGCTGAATCACTTCAAGCAAAATGGTACTCTGTGGAAAGCATTAAAGAAGAACTACCTCTCAGGTATCAGTGCACTCACCTGCATTAAATGTCTGGTGCTAAAGATGTTTATCCAAAATATAAATTTCCTGTCTATTTGAATTGCATAGGAAGAAGGTCCATTTTGTTGAGCAAAATTTTCCTTAAATATTCAGAATTCTTGGTAAAAGACAATGCATACGTATACCCTATCGTTCACATTTAAATTTTGAATTTCAGGTTAAAGGATATTCTCTATTTAATAGAGCTAGGACAAAGATACCATAATTTGGATGATAAAGGAAGGCCTCCTCCTTGCATGCCTCTCATAACACCACACCAAAAATGTTTACTTCGTCTTTTCATTGTTGCTTTGTGCAGGTATGATTCATTGAACTTTTTTCTTTTCACTGCAAAATATATTTTAAGGAAATAAAATATTTTATACATATTTTGATGATTTGTCTCAACATATACAATATAGTGAGAAGAATTAACCCTTAATTTTTAACAGAAATGCTGTCTGTTCACCAAATCCTTTTCTACACTTTTTATACAATCAAACAAACAATAATGAAATAATCTTGGATTTCTTTTAAGTGACAGGGAGAAAGTTCTAGTCTGCAGTAAGAATTTCCCTCATTTACCAGTAGTAGTAATATATGGGCGAAAAGACAATCTCAAGTATGCAGTTTCAAGATGTTTACAGGTTTGTACCACACTATCAAATGAATTTTAAAGAATTTATAACTTTAAAATGTTTAAAGTTTCAACCATGCAATCAAAAAGTCTGGAAAGAAAATGAGAGTTATGTCTTCTTTCACAGGTTGCTCTAAACTCCGGACAAAATACACCAGACATTAAAGTTTGTGGTGTATTGTCAGTTGAACATTCAGGTGATTTGGAAGCAGTAAATGATGGTATATGTCTAACAGTGTTATATCAAATGAAAGCAGAACCCATGACTCGAAAAGACTACAAGTGGCATTCCATTGAGAATAGCGATTTGAGAATACAGCTCAGGAACCAGATGAGAGAAGGCTCAGCTGTGCCTTTATTGATGCATTAAAATAATTTGTCAGAATATGTGAGTCTCCATTCCAAATAAAGACTAATGGCCCTCGAGTTCATAGCCAGGGTAGACAGGGTTTGAATTTAGCTTATTATACCATCATATATTCAAAGTTATGTTAATGTATGCACAACATGGGCACAGCCGGAAACGTGACTGATAATAATAAATTTGATTAAGAGGGTAATGGAATGTTCTAACAATATTTCACTTTGAAAGTCAAACAGTAAGGTGCATTAAATATCTTAAAATTTTGAGGTATTGTTAATCAAAATGTCAATGGAAGTTTGTGAAATTGTATTGATTAATGCATACATAGCAATTTTTAAAAACATTTCTCTGCTGTTTATGTAACTATTGAAACTACACTAGCTGGTCTAGGTACTTTGTAATAAAATTTTATAAAAATGTTTTAAAGATTTATTTCTAGCTTTAAAGTATTGAGATACACTGAAAACAATTATCAAAGTTTAAAAATGCACACAAATTATGCATATATCTGATAAGAGTGCATGTGAATATGCAACTTGATTTTATTTGAATGCTTTTTCTTCTTTAATTGATCAGCTACCTGCTCCGAGACCTGTCTCTGCGTTTAAACTTGTCTCTTTCTTTAAAATCCTCATCTGAACTTTCACTATACTTTGCTCTGCTTTTGTCTTTCTTTTTGTATGTTTTGTCCCTACGTTTTTCACTCTCTCTGTCTCTTCTGTCTCTGTCCTCATTTCTGTATCGATCTCTTCTATCCCTGTCCCGATCTTTGTCTTTTTCTCTTCTTTCTCTGTCATCATCCCTGTCTCTTTCTCTTGTATCTCTGTCCCATTCTCTATCCTTTTGCCTTCTATGATCTCTTTGCCTGTCTTTTCTAAATGAGGGGCTTGATGACCTTTTTCTTTCACTTTTCTAGGAAATTGATAAGAATTATATCAAAGTATTGTAGCATATACATCGGTCAGCTTTTGAAAGTCAGTGGATTTTTAATTTTTCTGATTTATCTCATAAAATTTGCAGGTTGAGTCTTTAAATTCTTTTACTCATAAAAGTCCCCACACAAAAAGAATATAAGACAGTTTTACAATATTCTGGCGATATGTAATTTGTGAAAGCAATTACCTTTCCTTGTTTTCTATCTCTCTCCCTGGATCTAGACCTGCGATCTTTGTCCTTTTTGTGCTTCTTATTTTTCTTCGAGTCTTCAACTTCTTCATCAGAATATACAAAATCATACCTGCTATGACACATTAAGGATTTCACATTAAATATATACCAAACCAGAGAAGATTGCCATATTTTTAAAATACTTGCTACAGATATTTATCAAAATACAATTGCACCAGATCACACCACTTAGAACAAGAAAATGCAAGAAATGACGATGCTTTTATTGAGTGATTAGAAAACAAGTGCACACAGGTAAAGCATTATAAAGGTAACTTGTACTTTTGTTTTTCAAACAAAAATTTTGCCTCTAACTTTTAAAAGGATACTTGTCTTTTCTTTCTTGGGTTTTCAACACGTATGTTGGTGGACTTTTTTGACGGGTTTCATTAACATGTTCAACTCCTTTTCCTGATAGAAAACAAAATACAATTTCTATACAATATAATTTATCTCAAAGCAATGCTTGATTCATTTAAAAAAACAATGTACAATTCCTTAAAGCAACACTAGGTTTATTTACTTGAACAATCATTTTGGGGAATACTGAACATACATAGAGAAGCATTATATCTGTGCTACTCCTTACTCAAAAAAATGAAATCATGCCTTACATGTTTCATAATTTTAATAATTAACAAAGTTACAATTTTTAAATAGTTAAAACAGTCAATGCTGTCATTTTCAATTATGTATGCCCTTGTTATTTGTGTAAATGTCATACCTTTTCCTCTCCACTTAATCTTAGCTACAGACTGGCTGAAGTCAACATGTATCCTTCGATCATCAATCAATACATTGTCCATCTTAAAATATGCATTCTCACACTCGCTAGCCTGAATAAGGTGAAACACAAATCCCCCAATGTTATCAATTTTTGGCTTCTGAAGAATGGTTCAAATGAGAAGCAACAAGTACAAATAAATAACAATCTACTAAAATACTGTCAAATTAAAAGAGCTTTAATTCCAGTGTTCAGGAGGAGTAAAAAGCTAAATGAATATGTAAATGTGTATGAGATGAGAACAATTAAAAAAAAAGAATCAATTGCAGTTTTAATTGAAAAATTATTTTAAAACAGTCTTAAACACAGGTGATATAGTATGTAAAAATTGTACTTCCAAACCACATGAAGAAAAAGACATTAGTGATATAAAATATACTTTTACATGGTGTTTTGGTTTAGTTGGAGATCTTCAAAATTTAGTAAGGGAAAATCTTTTTCTCAAATCCTATGAAATGCCCTTTAATATAAAATGTGTACAATAACTTACCTTTTCAAATTCAATAAATGCATATTGCAAGGAATTACCTGTCTTCTGATCTTTGATGACTTCACAACTAAAAAGAAAGTAATCTTTGTATATATGTATATTTTTCTCTTTAACTTTTATAAACATCTTGAATATTTCATGTCTAGGTCTATCCAGTAAAAATAAAAAGTTTAACACTTCAAATACATCTATTTCATTCAACTACCCTTGGTACATACTACAAAAGCATGCATAACATATCCTAAATAAATATTACATACAAATATGCAGCTTTCCAAATGGTAACTCCTTTAATACAAATAAGGTTACCTTAATATGTTTCCAAATCTTGAAAAAATAATTTCCAAGTCCTCTCCAGTTGTTACAGGGTTGAGTTTACAAACAAATAACACATTATCTTCTGGCTTAACATCTACATCTGGAAGATCTCCAACCTATGATATCAAATATAATAGATGAACATTTAAGTTAACACATGACTGGTAACATACATGAAGGCTATCATCTAATGTTTATGAAATTATAAAAGCAAAGTAAACATTCAAATAACTAGATTCAGCACACCTATCTGTCCCATTTATTCATCCACTTATTAAAATAAATCAGCAGAAGAATTATGTACAAAACAACTAGCTTACCATTTCTAGGATCTGTGCATTTGCTTTAGCTTCTCTCTCTTTCATCATTTCTTCAATCTCTGCCATTGATTTCCCTTTGGTGTCATCTATTTCTTCATCAAACCCTATGCGACCACTCTGGCAAAATAATTATATTAATGACATTAAAAATTGATGTTTAAATAATAATAATAATAATAATAATAATAATAATAATAATAAATATTCTCAAACATTTCTAAAAATGAAAAAAAAAAAAAAATGATACTATGAGTAACTCACATCCAACATTTCTCTGCTTGGTTCAGGAGATCTTTCTGGAATTTCCAACCCTGGTGGGTCAGGATAAGGATCATCTAGGATTATTGTGTGCAGTATCCTGCAGATATCAAAATAGGATATAATAGGATATAAAGTAAGCACTCAATTGTTTATATGCCATCCTATCAAGCATACAGAGTTGTCATCAATTATAACCTTCTAACAGTGCATCGTTTATTTTAAATATGTTACAAACAATGATCGTTACAGTGCAAGATATAACACGTATCTGAAGAAAATGCACTATCAGCGATTAAAAATGTCGGTAATTGTTAAGTAATAATCCGCAAAAAAACTCTAGAGCTGATGTTTTATTGTACGAAATTAAACATATGGAAAATGAAGCTAACTAAAAATCAATATCTTAATAGTGCACCTTATATCTTGGAATGGACGGTTCTCTTGATCACAGTGAGCCTCATTTATCTTACTGAGGGTATCAAAACCCTCTGACACCTCACCAAACACTGTATGCACGCCATCCAAATAGTCTAAATTATCTCCAGTTGTTATGAAAAACTAAAATAAAATAAAAGACATATTTTTAAATGTTAAAACAAAGCTATCATCGATCTAATCTATAAATTCTAAGAGAAGTAATTCTTCTTTGAGTTACATTACTAAGCTTTAATTGAAATTTATTTCTAACTGACTCATACAAAAGCTAATCAAAATTATCACATAAATCACATATGCCTCACTGACTATTGGTGCATTTTTAATTAATAAAAAATATTGTATTACCTGAGATCCATGCATGTCATTGCCATTATTAACCATTGAAACTGTGCCCATCTTTTTGTGCTTGAGTATGGGCTTTACTTCTCTTTCAAAAAACCTGGCTTGTTCTCCATAGAGTTTCCTTAATACAAACAGATATGATAAGACTTATATTCACTACTTCAACATATTTTATCATTTAAAAAAAATAAGTACTAGGTAAAGTTATTCTATCTTAAAATTTGTATTTATTAGAAATGAGAATTATAAATTTGAAAAGACTTTCTTTAATTTGACTTACTCAAAGATGGCAGCCCCTCCCCTCCCACTCCCAGTGGGGTCTCCAGTCTGTGCAACTAAATTTCTCTGAAAACAAAATTAAATTTCTAAATATTCTAGTATAACAAATGATAATCATTATTTAACAATAGATGGAAATAAATGCATTCAACAGTCTAAATTTTATTTGTCATTCAATCTAAATAATATGCAAAATGCATTTTCACACCATTCATCCATAATATTAACTTTTAGTATTCTAGTTTACTTTTCTACTGTTTTGCTCAAGTCTGGCTAGGATACACTGTCAGGCAATTATTTGATCTCATTTGCTGCCTCTAGATAGCATCCTCAGTAAATACATAAAACTCAATATACAAATGCTACAGACAACACTCAAAAGATTAAGAAATGATACATAAATGATACATAAGTGTCTCCACAATCCATTTGAAAGGATTGTGGAGACAAATGGTTAACAGGCTATTAATTGTTGCTACTAGTTTAGCAAAACCTGCAATACATGACGTATATACTGTTTCCAGCTAAAAAACAGAGTTATAATTAAAAAAAATTACAACCAAAAAATTACTGTGATGGTATTAAAACTCTCTATATTAAAAGGTTAAGAAGGTAAATGCTGACAATTAGTTAACCTTACATCTTACCTGAATTGAATGGAATAAGGAAAAGTTGTAGTATTTTATCTTGCATAACTTCAAGAAATTTAAGCAACCTGTAAATACAAAAGGGGTGAAAATGGTAAGTCAGTGGAGTAGCATAAAAATTCATGTGTTAGCACTCCTATCAACAATTTTGATATATATGGTGTCCTAATGCAAAAGACTCAAAGAGCTTTAAATGACATCTGGTTTGGGCATTATGCGGGAGCTGTTAAGCTTTTATCTTACCTCTCTCCTCCTCAACACCCCTGTAAAACCAACCAGTAATCTCACCAACAGAACTGTGAGTAAGGTAAGATCCATTTGCTTATCCACCAGTATTAAGTGCTACCAGTTAGGCTGCTGTGAAATTCAGCAACCAAAATCAGAATTCTGCATGGTCAAATAATGATGCATTTATTTTCCCCACTAAGAAGCAACCTGTTGCCCAGAATTGAGTGCATTATAAGTTATGTGAGCAACATAGCAACATAATTATTCCAGAGTTTCCTTTGGGGGGGGGGATGAACAACAAATTCTCATGAGGAGAAGTCTGGTCGGAGCCATCCCCCTCTCATGGCTCTGTAGATGAAAAATCTGGGAAGCTTTAAAGGAATGTAGGAATTAAGGCAAGATGAAAATTTGAGTGCTCCCACATCAAGATGGATGTGCAAACTGGTCATCATTTTACAATTTTTGAGGCATTTGCATTCATTCAAAAGCACAGCGTACACATTGAAAATCGTCAGTAGGAGTGCTAACAATCCCCCTAACAATCACTGTTTTAAATTTTACACAACAGATCAGGTTTGCTTTTGGTATTGTGAAGACTACCTGCATATACATTGTATGATATTATGAATTGGGTGTAGTTGAAGAAGAATTATCAAAATGATCTTGACAAAAACCAGCTAGAAATGCGTCATTTAACAGTGGGAGTTCATTAAGTTTGTACTGAATAAACAACTGATTTCATAGTATATACTTACTTCTAGGTCTTTCTTCAGTATATAGATCAATTGTTAGGTCCCCTACTGAGGTCTCAAGAATAACAGCCATGTTAAAAAATAGGCAACTTATTTTCAACTTCCTTATTTTAACAGAGGTTGCATATATATAGATTAATGAAACAACACGACCGACTGTTGGTAAACTAAACGTTCATGCAAGTGCTCTTCAACAAAAAGAGGCTGTTAAAGCTCTACATCTATAATAAGCGTGTAAAAGTGAGACTTGAATTTATTCAAAATATTTCATGTCAAACAAATATATAAAAACTAAAAATGCGTTTTGAAACAACTTTAATAAGAAAAAAGATAATAAGTATCCAAAATCATTATCTGACTGATGACACACTAAAGTAATATAGGTAGCCACTTTTGTGCTTGTACGAATTTCGGTCCTGTATTACAGTTTTCAGTAAAAGCCGACACACAGTCGCACGTTATCAAGGAGCCAAGCAGACGAAATGTCCGAGTCTGTTGTTATTGTCAGTGCAGTCCGTACACCTATAGGTAAAGAACGTTATTACACAAGCCAAAATTTTGCAACTTTTTCTTCATATACAGTTTTTTTTTATATAAAAAAGATTTAACACTTCAGAAAGAAGAGAGAGTGACGTGACATTGACACGGTTTTAACGAAGTGTATTGGAATGTACCTCTAAAATATAACACAAGTCAAGGTAGCTAAATGGGGTTTTTAAAGTTGCACATTAGATGGAAACGAAAATGATGTTAGATATAGGTCTTAAAATTTAACAGAAATGTGGCTATTCCTACTGAGGATTCGTACTGTGTGGCGTGATAGAAATGCAGCAATCTGATTGGACAGAAGTTTGTGGTATCAGCCCAGAGTGTTGTTTACATTAGATTATTGCCAGTAAATAACAAAAGTATGAAAAACTACTTAAAGACTGGAGATGTTTAAAGATTTAGTTTAATGATATATCTATATATCAATCTATACCTACCATTTCTTTATTGAATTAGTTATTTGACCATCTGGGTATCTGCATTTTCAGGCACTTTAAATGGATCACTCTCTTCTATACCTGCCCATGATTTGGGTACAGTCACAATAAAAGAAGCATTGAAAAGATGTAATGTGGCCTGTGACGAAGTGTCAGAGGTTATTTTAGGTCAAGTCTTAACTGCAGGTAGTCTTTCCATTTTCATCTTGCTCATTTACAGTTCATTTGGTAATTAAACATGGTTTACATATATTTAATTGTATATTAGTGCTTGACTGTGCCATTGTTAATTCTTACAGAAGACTTTCAAAATGGTGGAGTAAAATAAAAAAAAACATTTAATGATAATGTATGTCATATTTAATGTGGTTAAAAACAAAGTATGTTTTAAACATTTAACATATAAAAGTAATTTTTTCTCTGCCCTAGCACAAGGACAAAATCCTGCCAGGCAGGCTTCCATCAATGCAGGCATTCCAGACACTGTACCTGCTTGTGGAGTGAATATGCTTTGTGGATCAGGACTGAGAGCAGTTGTTCTTGGCACACAGGCAATTCAGCTGGGAGACTCTAATATTGTAGTTGCAGGTGGAATGGAAAGCATGAGCAAGGTGATTTGGCCCTCATTTGTAATTGAAAAGAAATATTAAGAAATGAAAGCATGTTAAGGCAACCTAAGACCCCATTCCCACAGATTTTAGATCGATCTATCCCTGTGGGGAGTCTCATTAGATTACTGTCAGCTTAGCTGGCTTAAATGTCTGTCCCGCCTACTAAAAGCTGTAAGGGAGTAATTAACTACAGTGTGCGCTCGTCTGACAGCAATTTAGCGTGAACCCCCAGGGAGTAAGGTCGATCTAAATCTATGGGAATGCACTCTAATTGTAACCAACCTTAATTCTAGTCACTAAATTTAAATTAAGCCAGTGGTCTTATAAACTGTGATTTATGGATTTTTTAAATCATAGTTTATAACAAGACATACCCCAGTAATATACCCCATGCTTCTATTTTGTAGCTTACTTTTTTGAACATTTTCATTTGATTAGTCTCCACATGCAGTTCACATGAGAAATGGGGTGAAATTTGGTGATATGAGTATGACAGATACAGTGCTGAGTGATGGTTTGCAGTGTGCCATCAAAAACTGTCACATGGGAATCACAGGTATGTGGAGGCATGTTAGATTATTGTTTAATATGCATATTGATTTTCCGTTGATCAATGAATCAAGCATTTTAGAGGTATACTCCATGAGATTTATCAGCCAAAATGGATTTTCCAGGGAAAAAGAGCAATTTTCTCGTACTCACAAATCATTTATCTGTCCCCTTGGATTCCACCTTTGATAAAATTTATAAATGATGATTTTAACTTAAAATGACTGGCCTGTCATTATAACAGCTACCTTTCCTATAAGCTCCAATGGAAATATGAACACTGGGTATGTTCCAGATATAAATATTTAAGGGGTTAAAACATTTTAATGTGTTTTTAAGGTTTTAAAAGCAGTTATGGATGTAAAAAAAACCCATTTTGGGTATTTTGAAACACATGGAGTGAACCATTAATGTTTATCCGTAAGTAGCATTTTATGTAAAGCAATTGATCATAAGTAACTTTTAATCTTACCACTTTGATTATGATAATTGTGAATAATTATTCTCTTATTTCATTTAGCTGAGAATGTAGCTAAGCAGTGGCAGCTGTCTAAAGAAGAACAAGATCAGTTTGCTTTGAACTCCCAGCTCAAGTGTGAAGAAGCTCAAAAAGCCAACTACTTCAAAGATGAAATTGTGCCAGTCACTGTTAACATTCCAAGAAAAGGTACATCAGACTTAAACATCTATCAAACAATTAAGTGATTGATTTAAACAGCTCTCTGAATGTCAATCTTTATACAGTAGGTATAAGTATTTTATAACATATTTTAGGACCACTAGAAGTAAATAAAGACGAGTTCCCAAGGTCAGGTTGTACAATTGAAGGACTTCAGAAGTTGAGACCCGCATTCATCAAAGATGCCTCTGGTACAGTGACAGCTGGCAATGCATCTGGTATGCTATAGTAATTATGGTCTAACATTTGCCATTCAGCTGGGAAATATTATAAAATATTGTACCATACTCTTAACTTGCTTCTAAATGTAATTATTCTTCAATTTCATTGGAAATGATTTTAAGTCTGAATGGTTTTTACATAAATGACATAATTAGAAACTTTTGAAGCATTATTGTCATATCAATTCGTGCCTTACTGTTTTTCTAGTTTTAATTCAAATCTTGAATCTTTTCTTGATTACTTAAAGGTATTAATGATGGTGCTGCAGTTGTTGTGTTGATGAAGCAGTCAGAAGCCATAAGCAGGAATGCACCAGTACTAGCCAAAATTGTCTCATGGGCACAAGCAGGAGTTGACCCTTCCATTATGGGCACTGGACCCATTCCTGCTACTAAAAAAGCAGTAAGTATGTAAACAGAGGCCGAGGTCAATTTTTTTCTTACAAGATATATAGTCAATTTGTTAACAGTAAGTCGTGGTATCCAAATTTAGGATCTTGGGAAGATTTCATTTATCTGTAACTTTTACAAAGCAAATCTCCTTATTCATTTCAGCTAGCAAAGGCTGGTTGGTCAACAGATGATGTAGACCTATTTGAACTCAATGAAGCATTTGCAGCACAATCTCTTGCTGTGGTAAAGGAACTAAACTGTGATCCAAAGAAAGTAAGTGTGGTTTCTCACGGACCTCCCTCTCCTGTGCGGTGCATCATATTAGGTGTAGATATTTTGGGAGTTGAGATTTATTATATCTGTGAACATAAATTTGTGCAAATGCAACACATCTTGAGATGTCAACCCTTTGTGTTACCATTAAGCACTATTATGTTTATTTGCTGCACACTTTTGTGGTCGACACCCCTATAAACATTAATTTTTTTTTTTACAATATTATAAGCACATATACAGTGCAACATTGTGTTTCAATTCCATAATTGCAGGTGAACATAAATGGTGGAGCCATAGCCCTTGGTCACCCAATAGGTGCCTCTGGAACCAGGATACTAGTGACATTATTGCATGCCTTGGTGCGTACTGGAGGTCGAAAGGGTGTGGCAGCATTGTGTGTGGGAGGAGGCATGGGAATAGCCATATGTGTTGAAAGACCTTAATTTAGTCAAATATTAAGAAAACGGTTGTATTAAGATTACCAACTGCTTAACAAATAGATAAACTGTACAAATTTACCACGCTGCAATAATACATTGATTTTTAATGTCCAGAATCATGAGAGAAAGTATAAACTTGTACTTTATCAATTTTGCATGCATGTCATTTACAGTAATGAAATACAAAGAAAATTTATTCATATCATTTGAAAATTTAATTTTCTGTACAATATAAAGACATGAATATACAGATTTATATATACATTTACTAAGTGGAGTTTAAATGTTCCTTGAAATATATGCCTATGAAATACATTTAACATTTACATTAAAAACAACTGTTCAATCTTTTTTTCTAAAAAAAATTGTTGAATCGGGCTAGATAAAAAAGTTTGCTGATTCTTTTCTACATGTATATAATTATCCTTCAATGCAACCGTCCACAAAAACAGGATCAGAGATCAGACATGTCAAGCATACAAGTTTTGGGTGCTTGCTGCTCATTTCATTCCTTCCACAGAAGTGCTACTTCAGAGTAAAAGCTGATCTTTTGATGTGGTGGTAAAGTCTGTATATTTGGATAAAACCGCTTTCTTACATTGATCTTAACTTAGCTAGACGCTGTGACAGTTCATCCTGAAAAGAGGATGTGGTGGTTAAATACATATGTGCACATGTATGTGCAATAGAAGTGTAATACAAGTTGTATCTGAAGTCGGAAAACTTGAGCATTTTTAACAAATTCTTATTAATGACATTTTCAGTACTTACTTGTTCTGATGATGCTGCACTGGCTGACCCAATGGTGGCTGTCTGACTTTGAGGCAATTCCATATTAAGTTCCAAACTGAAGAAAAACAATTAGGCAATTCACTTCTTTATAACATGCTTCTTGAAATAAAAAATGGGATTGCATTTCTCCAAAACAATCTATTCACTTTCACAAACACTTTTCTTCACAGCAAGGGATCTCAGCACTTTTTTTTTTTGCTTTGATGATTGTTATTTAGGCATTGCAAGAAATGGTTTACTTATCGATACAGGATCTAAAATAACTGCTGGTGCTAATAGCTGTTGCTAACTACAGACAAAATAGCAAATGCAATATTCTCACCCAGCTTCATCAGCCACTTCCTGCATCAGGGAATCGACCTGTGCCTGAGGAGCATTTAGTGTGGAAGAGGCAGACATCGTATCTTCCATCACTTGTGATTGCACATCAAGATTCTCAAACTGGGTTTCAAATCTGTCCATCAGTTGTGAAACCTATTTATGAAAAAAATATAGTTATTAAATACCTATATAAATATAAAATTTGCAACATAAACAATTGGACATATATAGATAAATATTACAGCTCAGTTTGTGCTTTTGTAATTTCTCTTACAAAGAATTATATCTAGGAATTTGATAGAGAAACATTTTTAAATTAGTATACCTTTTCTAAATTCATAGATTTCATAGCAGATTCCATTGACTTCACAACTCCTGCCATGGACTGTGTTACCTGAAATATTGAATAGATTTTCACAGTTTAACTTTGCAATTAGTACCAAATGCATTGATTTACTGGAGTGGAGCACAGTGCCTGCTTACATCACTCACTGGCAAAACCCTTTTCAATAATTAAATTTTTTTAATTATTTCACTGAAAGTTTACCAAGCAGTTAATATGAATTATTGTGTTATCCTAACACTGCATCTTTCATTTCATTTCGAGTTTTATTCTTTCAATAAAAAATTTAATTACATTGCTGTTATACATACTTGTTTTGTTGTAAGAGCAGTCTGAACTCTAGCAGCTACAGCATCAATTCTGGCACTCATTCTCCTATAGTTTATGGCTTCATTCTTCTTCCTAATAGAATTTTCTGCATGAATCCTGGCATTCTCTATCAAACCTTTTTGTATGGCCTAAAAGTTTGATAAAACAGAAGTATTTAAAAAGACGGGAGCACTGAAAACAATACCATATGGATCTCATAGAATAAATGAAGAAGATTTATGTATAGGATTGTTTATACCTGAGAAGTACTGAAAGTAAAATATGTAAATAAAACCCTTAAATTATCTCAAAAGTCTGTACATCACACATAGGAGATGACATGTCCTATAATTTTTGTAATAAGGGATTCCACATTATTGGCCACCTCTGTAACATCTCTCACCCTTTGTGATTTTTGTCATGTAAACACTTGTGCAACATGTAAAAAAGTCTTTCAAAGCAATCATCACATAGATACTTTCTGAAAATCTGCAATGCCAGCTGAATAAAATGATAACAATATAGCATACCTTCTTCAGTTTGTTTTTTTCTTCTTTTTCTTGTTTCTCACACTTCTTAGCATTTCTTTCAAGGTCTTTGGCAGCAAATTTTAAATTGAACAAATGTTCTGTAGATGGTTAAGGAAAACACAAAATTTTTCCTTTGTAACCAAGCAAGCATGTAATAAGCAAAGAAGGTCAAATAATACAGCATGATATTTTCACCACCAGGATACAAACTACTGTGCAAAACATTGTTGAAATTGCTTGGCCCACACGACTGTTCAAGAGTTATTTTTTTCCTTAAGGGAAACAATTCTAGGCATCAAATGGAAGTCTTCAACGAACATATTTTTTCATGGTGGCATAACAGGTAGATGAGCTGATGAATTATACCTTGTTCAACTGTCAAACATGCAGGAGTGTTGGTCACAGAAAATTAGCATTCTCTTTATTAACAAGATAGACAAGAAAGTGTAGATGGCTACCATCTTACTTTAGATATATGATAGATTCTCTAAAGGTCAATCAAATACAAAACTCTATGTAGTTCTACGTAAATGAGAGATGGGTTCTCTAACTTTTAAGTAACATTGACACTGATTGTGATACTGTGATGTACGTCGATGACAACATTGACAAGTTTACCTGTACTTCCTACTTGGTTTTTAGGCGGTTTAAATTCGAATGAGGTGTATTTTAATGAAACCAAAGGATACTATCCATCTTGGAAATTGTAGCTAGATCCCGGCTTGTCTATATTAGCACCTGTCTTCCGTCTTCTCGAAGATATTTCAAAACATTTATTGATGATCACTTACCTTCTGCTTGTGAGTAATATTTACGTGAGTGACGTCAGAGAAAGAGGAGACCGAATGCTGACCTCATCGATATATGAGTATTTTAATTTTTTATAATAAATCATTGTTAATAAAAGTGAATAGCCAAGAAATGTCTAATGACTTCTTCTACTCGAAATTTGGCCTGGAATGAACAGTTATTTCACTTCAAAATATTTTGCTTCATATTCACTCTTCCCACAATGCTCCATTTATTTACAATATGTCTGCGCCCATGAAGCTACTCGTGTTGACCGTCTACCACTGAGTTTGGACTCAGTTTTCCCAGCAGTCGGGAATTCCGTTGGTCATTATGAAGCGTAAAGGAGAGAATCCGTCACAGGAAAATGTTGAAAAACGGCGAAAAGAGCAAATCCCGACAGAAAATGAAAATTACACACATTTGAACTTTAAACTCGAGCTGCGAGATGCAACCACGATTTTCATCGGTAATATTTAATTAATAATCCAACGTTTGGCTGTCAACTTGATCGATTAATAACCGTAAAAACACCAGAAATCGATTTAAAGATACGACACTAGTATTCCATAGTACAAAAACCCGATCACAAAATCTTTTTTTTTTTTTTTACCGAATTTTTCGAATTGCCATGTAGATAGGCATATCAGAAGAAAATTCAAACTGATCAGAAAAATTTAATATTTATGTCTTCTGAAAGGTAATACAAACCGAACCAAAATGGGGACCTTGGCTGGGATGGCCTCAGTACAGATCATAAAATATTGCGCATCAAATTAACTGTACTTCCCATTCTTCAATTTTCATGCTTTTTCTATATTAAATTGCAAATTTGCTCAACTTTTAAATGGTATTTTATGGTATGCTCTGACTTTTTGATGTTCAGTAAGTGCAGAAAGTAAGAACGAAAGTGTTATAGACAGAAAAATCAGAAAAGTAGTTTTTTGTTAGTCTTAATTTGAATATCTTCTTTTAGGCTCTGTTCTCACAACTTTTAGATCGATCTATCACCGCGGGGAGTCTCACTAGATTACTGTCAGATAATCCCCCTTAAGTGTCCGTCCCCGCCTACTACAAGCTTTAAGGGGTAATTAACTTTCGTGTCCGCCCGGATGACAGCTATTTAGCGTGAACCCCCAGGGAGTTAGGTCGATCCAATGTAGGTCGATCTAATCTATGAGAATGGGGTGTTAGTAAGCTTTAAGTGCTCAAACTTATCTATGTTGAATTGTAGCTGACTAGTTAATCATACATGATATCAGCAGACTTACGTTATGTTTTTTCTACCCCAGGGCCCTCTTTGGGTACATTATGAGCTATTTGTCAGGAAAAATGATTATCTTATCTCTGAAAAACATGCAGTTTGACAAAAAGACCTAATTAAAAAAGAACATAATATTTTTTTAGCTCTTGAAAAGTTCATACAGCAAGCTAAAGGATATCTAGAAGGTGTACGCAGTGAAGATATAGCTGCAAATTACTGCCGATCATCACCAGAATGTCAAGAAATATTTCAGATATTGGAGGCAGGGAAAAGAAAACCACAGGAAGTAAGTTGTATCATTTGTAGTTAGCTTACACAATATTAACTGTCTTGGGATTATTTTGCTCTTTCAGTTTTGTAAATAATCAAAATGGATAATATATGATTATAGTTAATTCTTCATATTATACTGATAATTTTGTCTACAAAGCTATAGTGACTGCATTAGTTAGAAACATGAACAACTGTAACTTTTGATTTTCAGTATGCCTTGATATTCGAAACCTTAGAATGTTTGCTTCTAAGATTTGGAGATGACCTCAGTAACTTGAAAACTGTTGGCCATAGTTTAGTGAGACGGCTACTGGCAGGTCATATGGGTGCCATCTTTAGTATGTTATGGCCCAGCAACAAGGCTAGTCACATAAAGGCCAGCTTGAAGTTACTCACTTCAATGGTTATGCTAAGTGACAGTACAGCAAGAGATGTTCAGGCACAGTTTGATTTTACACACCAAGCTCTACCTGCACTGTTACTCAGAAGAAATATTCAGGTATGTAATATGTTGTTGTAAGATGTATGTATCTTTCTTTTTTTTTTTTTTTTTTTGCATATTCTTGTCAAGTTTGTTGAAATTTCATAATTTTTATGCTATTATATAGTGACTCTGAATGATATTTGGTATGTGATAAAGAACATTGTACATTTGAATTGTAATGTTAAGTATTTTTGCAATAAGATGATTATATGCATCAATAACTTTTTCAAGGACCCTCAAGATATTCGCACCTGTCTGCTACAGTTCATTATGTCATTTTTGAATAGTGGAGACAGCAGTGTGGTTCGTCAGTTAGTTGAGCAGAAAGGTAAGCAAAAAACACCTTTAATTCGGATCATTAGCAGGCATTAAAACCCCTTTGTGTATTTGAATGTAATTTTTAAAAAGTTTATTTATTTATATATGTAAAATGCCCAATGGCCAGGTATTACTTCTTTCTAACACCTCATTGAATTTTGGTAACATTTAAATGCTATGCATTGTAATTTAATTTTAGACTGTTTTCTTTGTTTATTTTTGCGTTTAAGGATTTCTCAATAGCATATTTTTTGGCATGGTTAATGACAGACTGTCCACAGTGCAGTTAATACTTGGAACATTACAAGAAAAGGTAACGATGTAGTTTATGAAACATACATCTCAAATCATATTTCATATTAATGATTAGTATTGAAGTTTAGAAAAGATAACAACTTTACTGATGTATAACTGACCAAAACTTAATATTTCAATAGTTTTTTTTTGCTTCTTTTAATTTTTTATTCATTTTGTCCTGATTGCATGATGCCTTATGGCTATTTTCTACAATTTAGGTTGTTCTTAACCCTTATATCAGCAAAACTGCAAAGATCCGTCTGTTCAATGACAATATTTTGAAGCAGCTGCTTCAGCTGTACAAATGGAAAGGACCGACAAAATGGAAAGCTTCACAAGAAGATGCCATGGAGCAAGAGGTTAGAAACATAGAATGTCCTTTTGTTTAAAAGTCTAATTGACTTTATGTGTCATTGCCATTATAGATTATACATTTAACGGGGCTATACAACCAAAAGTAAGGCTTTTAAGAAAATTATTTCTCTTTTTTTTTCACCATTTGTTCTAACATTCTAGATAGAAATAGAGGAGGATGAAAATGAGGACAGAAAAGTTGTCAGGGAGCAAGTGCACTCTTTTCTCTTGGAAATATGCTGTTCAATAAAAACAGGAATTAATTTTTATGACAAGTCAATTGGAACATCTGGAAAGTAAGTTCAGATATTATGTTGTATTCACATTTGGTTGGCATTCAAGTCAAAACTGTATATTACTAGCAAAATCATTCACTTTATAAAAGAGCAAAAATACAATTGAACAATAGTTCATTTATGCTAAAACTAGTCACAGAAAATCAACAAAAAATAAAGGTTTTGGCTGCTATGTATTTCAGGAACATGAATCAAACTAACAAAAGTATATCATTTCAGAAATATGAATCATGTTTTGACCAACTTCCTTGTCTCAATCACCAAACCATATGAACAGCCATTGATCCAAGAACTGGTGGTTTCTGTTCTTACAACTTGCCCTGATCAACTGGGAAGATATCTCCCTACATTGCAACATCATTTTGTGCCAAGAGTATCTGCTAAGTGGATCGCTGCTTTGGAATTTCTTCACAAGGTTTGGTTTTTTGTGTATGAGTATTCATTTTGGTATGCATGAAAACGTTGCAAATGCAAATGTATGGAATTTATGAAATTTGAAAATTCTTGGAATACTTCAGTTTTTGTCCAATTAATTTTTCATATAGTTGAAATCTAAAGAAAAAACTGAAATCTAATTTTATGGTTATTTTACAGGTTTATTCAGTTTTGCCAGAACTTTCATCTTTTCTCAAGCCAACAGAGCATGTTCCACCTCAGCGACTGGTTGCTATGGCAATGACCTTAACAGTTCCTCCTGCAGCGATAATGAACTTGATTACACAAGCAGTCAAGGTAAATTTGTAACTTTGTTCAACATGAAATGTTTCTTCTCAGATCAATGTTTTATTTACGAATGACCTTCAATTTTAAACAGAGACAACATAAAAGCAAACATGTTATAATGCAATGTGACATGACTCAACCCAAGTTGTTGTTACATTTGACAGAAATCAAGCTCAAAATGATATATATTATTATGTTACTTATCTCGAATAGAAACCCAGTCCCATCTTAAGGAGTGCTGTCCTGAAACTGGTGTTGCTGATAACAGAAAAATTCCAGAGAAACATAGCAAGCTGTACTGGAGGGGATGGGAAAAGTGCTTGGGCAACATATACAGCAAAAGATAAACAGGACTTCACAGAAAGTTACACAGAAACTATGATAAAGGTTTGTTGGTCTTCCTTTTTTCTGAACGTAATTTTCCTTAACTATTCAGTAGTTGCTATGCAGAGCCAAACAAAAAGTTACTGCATCTGTAATATGAATGATACATTTTCTGCTTCTTTCAAGAGATCAGGACCACCTAGAACAATGGTATGGGAAACTTCTCTAATGGATAGTGTACTTGGATTTAAAAATTATTGTGGTATTGAAGGTTTTAAGATTATGTGTAATACCAGCAAATGCATGTTTTAGGTATTGCCAAGTCTGGTTAGCATTGTTAAGTCCTGGGCAGATCTAACAGGCAAAAGTGCAACAGAAACAAGCCATACTGTGGTTGATGATGACAGTGATTTAGTAGTTGATTCAGATCTAACTGTCAAAGGTAAGGTTTTCTAACACTTAAATTTTTTCACCTAGGTTGATATGAAAAGTTGTTGATTTATAGATAATTGACATAAATGTCTCTCAGAATTGAATTGCTAAGTATTTTAGATGTTTTAGCAAAATTTGAATGTATTTACTGAAGAGAATCAGCCTTGAGATCTTGTAAGTATTTTATTTCAGATGTTGAAATTGGAGTGTATATGTCCAGAATTCTACAAACCTTCTGCTGCTACCAGTTGAATTTTCCTGGACTGCTGTCAGTATACACTATAGACTTTAGTAGCATGTTAGAAGGGATTAAAGCAAGGGAAGCTGATTTATCACTGGAAGAAAAGTCTGCTCTACAGTTGCATGTGCTTCAGCTTTTGGCCAATTCTGACAGCAGGAAAGTGAACTGGAATAAACAGGTAATTCTTGATAGAAAAGCATATTCTGCCATGGTGCTAAGTAAACATTTTAAAAAGGATGCAGAAAAAATGTAGGAATGTAGATTCATGGATTCCTGATGAGTATTATAAATTTTTGAAAAGCTTCTTGTTATCAAAATTACAAAAAAAAAAAAAAAAAAATCAAACAGATAAGCCAAATGGCATGATTTTTAAATAGTATTAGCTGTGGATTACACCAAGTGACCACTGCAGACTTTGCAGGTAAGGAAGAAAAGAGAAGATAATGAAAATGATTCTGAACACAATTCTAAGAAGTTCCCTTTTGCGTCTTATACTGGGTTCTTTGAACAACTACAGTTGCTTTCTAATATCTGTCAAGTATGTTTCATAATTCTGATTCCTAATAATATACCATTTTTTTGCATTTGGTCAGTCCTTTATGAGGGATAATCTTTGCAGTGATCACCATTTTGTTCAGATTTGACTAGTACACATATTTACTATGGCATACCAAATTGCTATCCCATAATTTATTCTAGAGTGAGAAGGGCAGATCTATGATGTATCTGCTCATGGAGATGGTGGTGACATCTGCAGGAAACGAGGAACTTGGGGAACTAACCAAGGCTTTATTGGTTAAGGTAAGACTTGTTTCTGACCATGTGGAAATAAAGAAATGAAATTAAAATGCTATAAGTTCTATATATAACATTCAAGTACAACATTTAACTTTTAATGTTCATTTGACATGTAGTGATTGTTTAATTTTGACAACATTTGAACTCTCAATATTGCATGGTGATCCATACAGAATCTTGATGTATTTAAATTTGTTGAAGGCACTTTTAGAAGGTGTCACAGTAATGAGTTAGCTTTATTTCAGATGTTGGTAAACACGGGTTTGTTCGAAGACAATGAAGCTGAACTGAAATTATGGTTGAAGAGACTGGAAACAACTCCTGTGAATAGTCAAATATCAGTTTTAACATTTCTGGAAAAGACCGCACTGACTTTGCTAAGCAATCCGTACCCTTATGCCGATAGGATAATTGAAGCTGTGTCAAAATCAGCACAGATGGGGCAAAGTAACAATGATGAAATGGAAACTGGTGAAGATATTCTTAAAGGTAGTTTGGCATTAATTGAATGATTTATTTTATAATTTTTACATGCTTTCATATATTATATATAGATGGCAAGATGTTTAATAGTCAAGAAATACTAACAAAATTATGATTATGTATTTCTGTCTATGCAAATGCCTGTTACAATGTCATGGTTTTTGTAGAGATTCTAGAATTGGAGAGCATACCCCTGCAAGCAGATGGAGATTTGGAAGAAAATTGCCAGGGAAGTGCACAAGAAGTACACACAGTAGAAAGGTAGTTTTGTCAAGAGTTGTTTCTTTCTTCACTGTAGAAAAATAATTTATATGTTATACCTAAATTCTAATTGGACTTTGAGTAGATGTCCCTGTTTCACATTTCTCAAGGTCACTGTATGTCAAATGGTTTTTCTTTTCCTTTTCCTTACTATTTTGGCAGATTGGTGAAAAGAGACGTGGCACATTCTGAATCATTCGGCGTCTTGTCACTTATTTCTTTGTATCATAACAAATACAATATACAAATAGAAGAGTTTATTTTATCTATACCTCAGGTCGCCATTTAGTCCCCTTGTGCCTGTTGCACTGTCTTTACTGCCGGTGAAGGAGCAAAATGCAGAAGGTACGGTCTTTTATGACAAACTTTTTTTGATAAATTATAATGAGTTTTTGATTTGAATGCAGATTCATTATATATAGTTCTAATTTGAAACCAGTAATACTTCCCTTTTTGAAGAATTTAACTGGAACTTTTTGATTAATAAATGTATAACACAATTTACATATTTTTTTCTCAGAAACACAATATTTTGTAACTTTTTTGCAAATAGATTCATGTTTAAATTGTCNTGGTAAAAGTGCTTGGGCAACATATACAGCAAAAGATAAACAGGACTTCACAGAAAGTTACACAGAAACTATGATAAAGGTTTGTTGGTCTTCCTTTTTCTAAACGTAATTTTACTTGACTTTTCAGTAGTTGCCATGCAGAGCCAAACAAAAAGTTACTACATCTGTAATATGAATGATACAATTTCTGCTTCTTTCAAGTGATCAGGACCACCTAAAACAATGGTATGGGAAACTTCTCTAATGGATAGTGTACTTGGATTTAAAAATTATTGCGGTATTGAAGGTTTTAAGATTATGTGTAACACCAGCAAATGTGTGTTTTAGGTATTGCCAAGTCTGGTTAGCATTGTTAAGTCCTGGGCAGATCTAACAGGCAAAAGTGCAACAGAAACAAGCCATACTGTGGTTGATGATGACAGTGATTCAGTAGTTGATTCAGATCTAGCTGTCAAAGGTAAAGTTTTCTAACACTTAAATTTTTTCACCAAGGTTGATATGAAAAGTTGTTGATTTATGGATGATTGACATAAATGACTCTCTCAGAATTGAATTGCTAGACATGTTTTAGCAGTATTTGAATGTATTTACTGAAGAGAATCAGTCTTGAGATCTTGTAAGTATGGTTTCGTTTTGTTTCAGATGTTGAAATTGGAGTTTATATGTCCAGAATTCTACAAACTTTCTGCTGCTACCAGTTGAATTTTCCTGGACTGCTGTCAGTATACACTATAGACTTTAGTAGCATGTTAGAAGGGATTAAAGCAAGGGAAGCTGATTTATCACTGGAACAAAAGTCTGCTCTACAGTTGCATGTGCTGCAGCTTTTGGCCAATTCTGACAGTAGGAAAGTTAACTGGAATAAACAGGTAATTCTTGATAGAAAAGCATATTCTGCCATGGTGCTAAGTAAACATTTTAAAAAGGATGTAGAAAAAAAGTAGGAATGTAGATTCATGGATCTTGATGAGTATTATAAATTTTTGAAGAGTTTATTTTCATCAAATTTGCAAAAAAAAAAAAAAAAAAAAATGGAACAGAAAAGCCAAATGATAAGATGTTTAAACAGTATTAGCTATGGATTATACCAGGTGACTACTGCAGACTTTGCAGTTAAGGAAGAAAAGGGAGGATAATGGAAATGATTCTGAACACAATTCTTAGAAGTTCCCTTTTGCATCTTATACTGGGGTCTTTGAACAACTACAGTTGTTTCCTAATATCTGTCAAGTATGTTTCATAATTCTGATTCCTAATAATATATAATTTTTTTTGCATTTGGTCAGTCCTTTATGAGGGATAATCTTTGCAGTGATCACCATTTTGTTCAGATTTGACTAGTACACATATTGACCATGGTGTACCAAATTGCTATCCCACAATTTCTTCTAGAGTGACAAGGGCAGATCTATGATGTTTTTACTCATGGAGATGGTGGTGACATCTGCAGGGAACGAGGAACTGGGGGAACTTACCAAGGCTTTATTGGTTAAGGTGAGACTTGTTTCTTACCATGTGGAAATAAAGAAATGAAATTAAAGTTCTATATATAAAATTCAAGTACAACATTTAACTTTTAATGTTCATTTGACATGTAGTGATTGTTTAATTTTGACAACATTTGAACTCTAAATATTGCATGGTTATCCATACAGAATCTTGATGTATTTAAATTTGTTGAAGGCACTTTTAGAAGGTGTAACAATGATAAGTTAGCTTTATTTCAGATGTTGGTAAACACTGGTTTGTTTGAAGATAATGAAGCTGAACTGAAATTATGGCTGAAGAGACTGGAAACGACTCCTGTGAATAATCAAATATCAGTTTTAACATTTCTGGAAAAGACAGCACTGACTTTGCTAAGCAATCCGTACCCTTATGCCGATAGGATAATTGAAGCTGTGTCAAAATCAGCACAGATGGGGCAAAGTAACAATGATGAAATGGAAACTGGAGAAGATATTCTTAAAGGTAGTTTGGCATTAATTGAATGATTTATTTTATACTTTTTACATGCTTTCATATATTATATATAGATGGCAAGATGTTTTACAGTCAAGAAATACTAACAAAATTATGATTATGTATTTTTGTCTATGCAAATGCCTGTTACAATGTCATGGTTTTGTAGAGATTCTAGAATTGGAGAGCATACCCCTGCAAGGAGATGGAGAGATGGAAGAGAATTGCCAGGAAAGTGCACAAGAAGTACACACAGTAGAAAGGTAGTTTTGTTGACATTTTTTTCTTTCTTCACTTTAGAAGAATAATTTATATGTTATACACAAATTCTAATTGTACTTTGAGTAGATGTCCCTGTTTCACATTTCTCAAGGTCACTGTATGTCAAATGGTTTTTCTTTTCCTTTTCCTTACTATTTTGGCAGATTGGTGAGAAGAGACGTGGCACATTCTGAATCATTCGGCATCTTGTCACTTATTTCTTTGTATCATAACAAATACAATATACAAATAGAAGAGTTTATTTTATCTATACCTCAGGTCGCCATTTAGTCCCCTTGTGCCTGTTGCACTGTCTTTACTGCCTGTGAAGGAGCGAAATGCAGAAGGTACGGTCTTTTATGACAAACTTTTGATAAATTATAATGAGTTTTTGATCTGAATGCAGATTCATTATATATAGTTCTAATTTGAAACCAGTAATGCTTCCCTTTTTGTAGAATTTAACTGGAACTTTTTGATTAATAAATGTATAACACAATTTACATATTTTTTCTCAGAAACACAATATTTTGTAACTTTCTTGCAAATAGATTCATGTTTAAATTGTCATTGTTATCC